GTGCCTATTTGTGCCCAAGAGTGGATCGTCCAATGAATAGTATTGACTGGTGGTTTACTTGGCCTGCTCACTCTTTTGTTGCTGGGTGCGCTCATCCCATTATTTACTGTCAATATTGACTCAGGTATTTAGACTCTCCCCATATATACCTACGTAGGTAGGTAATTTATGGTAAAATGTATATCCCTAATACAAAGTATATACTCCGCACCAATAAATCATTATATAATAGAATAAAGCCTGATTGCCAGGTATCTGATGGGGTTTGAACGCGGGAAGCAGAAGCCGAGTGCCTGCTTGGTAACTGTGGTGTCTGCCTGGGTTTCAGGGATCGTTCTAGGCGCAGGTACCGAGGTGAGGTGAGGTGAGGTGAGGTGTTGATGTCGTGTCCTACTTAAGTAGGAAGGGCGGTTGTTGGCTGCAACATCATCTTCAGGATTTGTCTCCTGTGGGTGTATGCGTGCGCTGGTTCTGAACTCGCTGGTCTGTTGTTCCATTTTCCTTGGCATAGATTTGAGTAACCGGATACAGCTTCAACTGACAGAAATGTGGGAGACTGGCTGGGCTTCGAGGTTCGTCTTGCTGCAGGGGGAGGTGGACTGGGACTAGAAATGGTGGCCGGATGGCCTGTCGGCGGGTGTATAGACAGCAACTCGCAAGCTCATTTGTCAATGGCAATTACATGGCGGCGATGACGCTGCTGGCCAGGAGTTGGGAGTCAGAGCAGAGGGATTCATGCAAAACGACACGCAGGGCGGGCAAAGACAGCCAGCACAGGACAACTGTGGGGTCGAAAACCGGGACCAAAGTCAAGAACAGAGGGTGAGCGAAGAGGACGAGCGAAAATTTTGGCGGCCATGGTGGAGCTGCGCCACCAGAAGAAGTCAGAGGAGCAGGAGCGGTCCCGATGTTGACGAAAATCCAAAGGACACCGGACTGGAGACATGGAGCGGTTGCCAGCTCCCGCAGACAGACAGACTTGGCCCATGAATGCTGGTCCGCTGATTGACTCGGGCTGGGGCAAGCAGCGGGCTGCACATGTGCGCAAGTGGCTTTGCGCGTGCCGGAATAAAACCTGGCTGCCGCCCCTCCGTGACAAAACCTTGTTTGCACACAACACAAGACGCTCAGTTTTATTTTTGTCTCCGGCATCAACAATTCCACAGACCGCCCAACCGCATCTTCCACTGTGAGGCCGTCTTCTCAACTGCCCGCTTTTGATCGTCAATTGCATTGCAACCGCTCTGGACTCTTGATCTCAGGTTAGTCTAGCTTTGGCCGCTGGCCGCTTCTCCAGTGTTGCAGTCAGTCCGTACTGTCACGCCAAATTGCCCGTGCCACGGCACATTTCTCCCGAGGGCCAAACCCGCTCATCGGCCATCGGCCAAAGTGGCCACGACGACGGCGTACACGAGTGCAATCGAGTGGCAGTGTTGCTGTTCGCTCTAGTGAGCCGGGCGTCGGGTGCACTGTTTTTTTACGTGTTTGCGAGGGCTGCTGGTTCTTTCTACGCACTTACACCTGCCTGCTGCTGTCTACACTCGTGTACCTTTGTCCCATCTGTCGGGTTCAGGGACACTAAAGTACACATTGTTATAGCACGCCATTACACACCATTGCCGGCTACCGTTTCTTGGAGAAGGCCAAGTACTGACTTTTTTGATTCACTATAGAGCTTACCCCGGCCCACCACAGCACCCCTCGACTTGCCTTTGGTCTCTTCAAAGGCAACCGCCTTCGCCACGGCTCCCCAGGCCGTTACATTTGTCAGTGACCAAGATTTCAGTCTTCGAAAGACTGCCCACATCATCAACGCTATCCCTCCTCCCTACACCCGTGCTGAAAGCCCCTAAGCTTCTCGAGGCTTTCCTGTTGTTCGGCGAACCGGTGTTCCAGCCCCCCATCTTGACTTCAGAATCGTACCAGCTGCCGCATAGGAGGATCCCTGAGGTTCTTCCTCTTACCGAGGAAGAGTCGAGGAGGCCTCGCCAATCCACTGAAGGAACAGTTTGCTATCCGTTCCGACCCCCTTAACACCACCCTAGCTCACTTAGTGAGTTTGAGTCTATTCTACGTCAGCTATATATTCCAGGCAACCCCGTCAATCTTTTTGACGGCTTTCCCCCTTGAGGTTCTTTGAGCACTTGTTGTCTGTACCAAACAACTCGTCAACTCCAGTCAACGGACAGTTAGACGAGATACATATATTCCCCGGCGACAAACAGCACTCTCGGATAACTTCCCCCTGGGATCAACACTAGGGATATGGTTATGGCAACGGCTATCCTTGACAACCATCAAAATGTTACACATAATCATATGTCAATGAAGAAGCCGCTTTTGGCGGACTACCTTCATAACAATGTTTTCATTGACCCAAAGCAGCTAATTGGCGAGGCCCTTCACAATCGTGCGGAGTCTGTTGACCATGAGCTCTGCGAACCTGGCGATGAGGATACCTTCTTTGTCGCTGACCTTGGCGAGGTCTATCGGCAGCACCTCCGATGGAAGAAGAACCTGCCTCGCATCAAACCGTTCTATGGTGAGTTGTATCCCTTCATCCTACATGACTATTCGCAGGCATATCTCGTTGCTAACATAGCCTAGCCGTCAAGTGCAACCCGGACCCCAAGGTGCTTCGTCTTTTGGCTGAACTTGGCGCCGGATTTGACTGTGCCTCCAAAGGGGAGATTGAGCAGGTGCTAGCTATGGGAACCACCCCTGAGCGCATCATCTATGCTCAACCATGCAAGACGAACTCGTACGTTCGCTTCGTTAAGAATGCAGGGGTCAAGCAGATGACATTTGACAACGCCGACGAACTGTACAAGATTGCGAAGCTCTACCCGGAAGCCGAGCTGTTCCTGCGCATCATGACCGACGATGCCTCTAGCCTTTGCCGCCTCAGCATGAAGTTTGGTGCTGCCATGGATACCACTGAGAGCCTGCTGGCTGTCGCCAAGAACCTAGGGCTTAACGTGGTCGGTGTTAGCTTCCACGTCGGATCTGGTGCTTCCGACCCCCTTGCCTTCTACAAGGCCGTTCGGGATGCCCACGCCGTGTTCCAGCAAGCTGCTGAGTTTGGCTTTACCATGCGCACCCTTGACGTGGGTGGTGGGTTCTGTGGAGATACATTTGAGCAGATGTCGAGTGTTCTCCGTGATGCGTTGGACGAGTTCTTCCCTGCCGGTAACGGTATCGACATCATTGCCGAGCCAGGCCGTTACTATGTCTCCACGGCGTTCACCATTGCCTGCAACATCATTGCTCGCCGTACTGTTGAGGACCCTACCCTTGATGGCAAGGGCTACATGGTCTACATCAACGATGGTGTTTATGGCAACTTCTCCAGCATCATGTTTGATCACCAGCACCCGGTAGCTAAGATCCTCCGATCGAACGGACGCACACTCTACAATACGGCGTCAGCTAACGCCTGCAACGCTGGCGAGGGAGTCGAATACTCGGTCTGGGGCCCCACTTGTGATGGTATTGATCGCATTAGTGAGAGCATTCGTTTCGAGACTATCCTCAACGTTGGTGACTGGCTATACTTTGAGGATATGGGTGCGTACACCAAGTGCTCGGCCACCCAGTTCAATGGATTCTCCAACTCTCACGATGTCATCTATGTGTGCAGCGAACCTGGGGCCAAGTTTCTTTTGAACATGTAGGCAAGTTTGGCCCATGGCTATTGTCAGGCGTCGCATTATTGTGGACGCAAAAGAAATGTTTGTGTGTTTGACCTTCTATGTGGACCGTTTTGGATAGAGTTAAAGAATAGTTTTGATAAACAGGAAAATTTAGAACGACGTCAAGACCACGTTTCACAGTTGCATACATTGAAGTCGCTTTGGCTAATCCTGGACATGTTGTCTGGTATGCGCGCCAACGCAACTGATTGAGAATGAAATGGCTTTCCCTCTGGCATGTACCAATGACAACTTGTTTACTGTTTCTGCATTTTCGTCTTTTGACAATAAGTCCGTAGCTCAAAGCAGGACGAAGAGCGTCATCATGCACGTGCATAAATACATAAAAAGACTACCCGTGTAAGGAGTACCTGGATTGGGAAGGACTTCCCGGCATGGTTGCTTGCCTGACTTGATTTTAGATGCAACCCCTGATGCTTGGTATTTTGAAATGTGCTGAGATGCTTTGCACTATGGTGTGATATGAGTGAGTGACGTAGCTGCCAAGCCCACGAGCTGTGCGAAGGCTGACCACAACAGGGACCAAGGACTAAGTAAACAATGAGAGATTTCCGGTACAATCGCTCCATTACACCAATGCTGCCTTTGATGTTCGCATACTGCCTCACCAGCGTGAACTGTACAAATGAGCCCTGCTTGACGCCCTCTGTATTCTTTGGTTAGCGGCGCTTCGGCAGTTGATTCTCTATGGAGCTTATTCCGTAGAGCAATTGGCCCATTCCTGGGTACAGAAAGCTATCACATATCACATACGGAGTACTCTGCGGTGTTCCATTCTCACATAATATTCATCCTGGTTATTGGCTAAGCAGAGGTCTCCCCCCATTACTGAGACACGGGCGAGCAGAAAATGACCGAACTGCAGAAAGACATCACAGCTAGCCTCACTCTTCGAATTATCTTTATTCGCTCAGGAGAGCTCACCCTCGTTCGTCTACGATGCGGCTGAATGAATTATCGCTTGGTGCGGGAAGCTTTCTGTCGGCACTACTGGCTGCGCCGCCCTGGCCCCAGCTGTAGGGCTTAAGAAACATGACCCCAGCCAACAATGAGTAGGGAACTTCTTGAGTAACTCTCCCCTCGAACAGCTGGACATCGTACCCGTCACATATTCTATCGATGTGGTACCGGTAGACCCTTGGTGCATAGTCATACTGACGGCTGCGTTGAGCGTGGGGAATGTAAATTCTTCTCCTTCCTGACAGTTGCTTGCTTTGTTCGTCTCAGCTCGAAACTTCGGGGCTTCGAGCCAGTATCACAACAATAACCCGGAACAAGGAGGCGGGCATGGAGGCCTTTCAGTCAATAAATAGCAAGGGGAATGCGGAGCCACGGAGGCTCGGGCTGAAGGAGGTATACTGCGGTCGAAATACTGATCCTGGCACACCCAACATAGAGTTCGTCTACCTTTGTGCTTGCCTTCCCGACACCTTCTAACATAGGGCAGCATCGTTGCCATCCACGGCTTGGACACGCACTCACCAAAAACATGGGTGGCATGGAAGAAGGACGGCGACCCTAAGTCTGGAGAAGTCCACTGGCTGCAAGATCGCAGTATGCTGCCTTCGGTTATCCCAAGCGCTCGCATCTTTACGTACGACTGGAACGCGAACTTCGACAAAGATGCGGCTGCTCAAGGTTTGCTTGGCCATGCCGACGGTTTACTGGAAAAGTTGCACATCCGAAGATCAAAGGTGGAATTTCATAGTTCCCTGCCTTGGCAATACGATCTAACGATGTACAGGACGCTATTAATCGACCCCTCATTTTCGTTGCCTCCTGCTTTGGTGGCTTATTACTTTCCAAGGTAGGACCTAATAACCTTTAGGTAAATTAGCACTGACTCATAGAAGGCGCTTCACCGGGCATCGGAAGGCCACAGCAAGTACCAGAACATCCTCAAGTCGACCGTCGGTATTGCATTTCTAGGAACACCCTTTCAAGGTAGTAATAAAGGCTTTATTACTTCTACGCAGCTGCGTCTCAATATTGCAATATCATCAGGGGGGGAAACAGCCGACGAGTTGGTCAAGTATCTGAACAACAACGACAGCGAACGTAAACAACTTGATGAGGTTGTCCAGCAGTTCTGCGAAATGGCCAATAGCAAGATGTTCAAGTTTCCAATTATATGCTTTTACGAGACACGCCGAACGGACTTCAAGAAAGTTCTCAAAGAATTAACACCTGAATTTCGCAAGGCGCTTGGCAAGCATGATACGGGCATCGTAAGGTACACCAGCAATATATCATCCTGTTACTGTGGCTAACTTCAGCAGCTTGTTCCAGAATACTCAGCTTGCCTTCAAGGCCAACCACGATCTGATTTGGCCGTCAGGCACGGATTGTTAAACAAGTTTGCAGGGCCGGAGGACCCGGCTTTTGAGATTGTATCCTATTACTTAAAAGAGTTCGCCGAAGAGGCACTGCAGCGGGGTTAGCAAATGTATTTCTTTCAGTAACCTTCAATGTATCAGTACACGCTTCCGTGACCGCGTGCTGCCAGGCGTAGATTGTCACATTACGTACCTGTGTACAGACATCCTGCTAACGAACCCCCCAGGACCGGATGCCTGGATCCAAAACGAACACTATCGAGACAAGCTCAACATAGTGCGGCTCTCAGGCAACCATCTGTCAATGGACCAGTGCTACATCAACCTCGCCATTATAGAAACATCCAACGGAGAAGCGGATCGCATAGAGAAAGGATCAGATGGGGAAGACTTAACTCCACAGCACTCCCCGTTTTCGATCCTCGCTCGACAGAAAGTTGAGACGCCAGACAAGACGACACAGGTTGAGTTGGCGACATTATTCAACGACCGCAAACGACCCCAAAGTAAAACGATAAAACCAAGAAGAATCTTGATTCGAGGACGTGCCGGTGTTGGCAAGACGACCTTGTGCAAGAAGATTGTCCACGAGTTTACCCGAGGCGCCTGGGGTGAGTGGACGAACATCTTCGACCGCGTTCTTTGGGTGCCCCTAAGGAGCCTGAAACGAAAACCTGACAATGGGTACCATCTTGAGGGTCTGTTCCTCCGAGATTTTTTCTCTAATGCACCGAATCGTGAAGCCCTCGCCAAACAACTTGAAGAGACATTGCATATTACCAAGTTTGCTACAACCCTGTTTATCCTGGATGGCCTGGATGAAGTTTCTGAGGGCATGCGACCGAGCAACGAAATGCACAAATTTCTCATATTTCTCTTACAAATTCCCAACGTTATTATTACATCCCGGCCCAACGCTAGCCTTCCTTCTTGGATCCGAGCTCCAGATCTAGAATTGGAAACGATAGGATTTTACCCAGACCAAGTGGAGGAGTATATCGAGAAGACCTTTACCGACTTTGCCGATGCAAAAACGCCTGAAATTGATCAGGAAACAGTCGACAAGATCCAGCTCTTCATTCGAGATCACTGGCTTCTCCAGGGTCTTATTCGGATCCCGATTCAGCTTGATGCGCTTTGTTATACCTGGAAAGACTTGGATCGGGGAAATTTGCCCAATACTATGACGGGTATATATGAAGCTATCGTGCAAAGGTTATGGAGGAAGGATATCGTGCGACTAGAGAGATTGGACGAGAACTATGTCGCATCAGCCCAAGACGTCGAAATCGAGGACGAGGTCGAGAATGACAGCGCACGTCTTGAGTGTCTTGCCTTTAACGGTCTACACTGCGACATTATGGACTTCACACGAACTCATCGAAACCAGATAGCCAAGAATTTGCCTGCCGCGTCGCATTTGATCAAATTGTCGCTCGACGAGACTCTTGCACAACTCTCTTTCATGCGAACATCAGACCCATCATCAATGTCCGAGGACCGAAATTACCACTTTATACATCTGACTTTTCAAGAGTACTTCGCGGCAAGGTATTTTGTGCGACAGTGGAAGAATAATGGACAACTCCAGTGTCTTGCATTGGGCAGTAAGTACACGGAGACAATGCCGACCGGTCCCACAGAGTTTCTTCGGAAACACAAGTATACAGCACGGTACGACATCTTTTGGCGTTTTGTTGCCGGCTTGCTTGATATCAGAAGCAACGTCGGGCCAGGACAGGATATACAACGCTTTTTCCGGATGATCGAGGACGAACCGCTTGATCTTTTGGGTCCTACCCATCAACGACTGGTTATGCATTGCTTGAGCGAAATATCGGGTAGCGTACCAATGCGGGAGAACCTAGAACAGAGGTCGCCCGAGTGGTTGCGAATGAGGGAGGACTTGGAACAAAAGCTGTCCGAGTGGCTGCTTTTCGAGTGCGACTTTAAGGGGAGTGCGCAGCTAGCAAGCGAAATGGAGTTTCCCGAGAGAGCGTTGGATGCTGCCTTACTAGAGGGGTCTGATCATGCTCAGAAAACAATTTTACAGTCGCTAACTGGGCGACCGGCCATACCTGACAAGATCCTCACGGCGGTGGCGGCACGGCTCAACGACAAGGATAGGTACGTGAGAGGCGCCGCGATTAAAGCCTTAGTAGGTCAGCGACGGGCCCTGCCGGACAAGACATGGATCCTCACAGCGGTACTGGCACGGCTTAACGATGAGGACAGCTACGTGCGAGTCGCTATTATTAAGGCGTTAGATCAGCGTCCGGCCCTACCTCACGAGATCCTCACGGCGGTGGCGGCACGGTTTAACGACGAGGAGTGGTATGTACGACAAGCCGCTGTTATAGTTCTAGGTGGGCGACCGGCCTTACCTGAGAAGGTTCTTCTAGAGGTAGTAGCACGGCTTAGCGATAAAAAAAGAGACGTGCGAAGCGCGGCTATTACAGCCTTAGGTCAGCAACTAGCCCTATTTAACGAGACATGGATTCTTATGGCGGTAATAGCACGGCTTAAAGATAGGGAGTGGTACGTGCGAGTTGCCGCTATTAAAGTCTTAGGTGAACAACTGGCCCTACCTAAAAAGATTCTTATGATAGTAGTAGCACGGCTTACCGACGATAATCGGGATGTACGAGACGCTGCTGTTGAAGCTTTAAGTAGGCGACAAGCTTTACCTAATAAGATTCTTACAGCGGTAACAGCACAACTTAATAACGAGAAGTGGTATATACGACACGCCGCTGTTATAGTCTTAGGTAGGCAACTAGCCCTACCTAATAAAATTCTCATAGCAGTAACAGCACGACTTAAAGACAAGGAGTGGGATGTGCGATACGCCGCTGTTGAAGCTTTAGGTGGGCGACCGGCCTTACCTGATAAGATTTTTTTAGCAGTAGCAGCACGGCTTAATGACGAGAAGTGGGATGTGCGATACGCCGCTGTTATAGCCTTAGGTGGGCGACCAGCTCTGCCTGATGAGGTTTTTATAGCGGTAACAGCACGACTTGATGACGAGGATAAAAACGTGCGGCGCGCCGCTATTATAACTTTAGGTGGGCGACCGGCCCTGCCTAATAATATTCTCACGGCAATAACAGCACGAATTAATGACGCGGAGGGGGACGTGCAGCAGGCTACTATTATTACTTTAGGTGGGCGACCGGGCCTGCCTTATGAGATTCTCACGATAATAGCGGCACGGCTTGATAGTAAAAATGGGGACGCACGACGCACCGCCGTTGAAGCCTTAAGTCGGCAACCGGCCCTGCCTAATAAGATCCTCACGATAGTAGCGGCACGGCTTAATGACGAGGATAGGGACGTGCGACGGGCCACTGTTGTAGCCTTGAGTCGGCAACCGGCCCTGCCTGATAAGATCCTCACGGTAATAGCGGCACGGCTTGATGACAAGGATAGGTATGTGCGAGGAGCTACAATTACAGCCTTAATAAGTCAACGACCGGCCCTGCCTGATAAGATTTTTATAGCGGCAGCGGTACGGCTTAACGATAAGGACAAGTATATACGGATTGCTGTCGTTAAAGCTTTAGGTCAACAACCGGTTGTGCCTGACGAGATTCTCACGGCAGTAGTGGCACTGTTCAGCGACGAGGACGAGGACGTGCGACGCGCCGCCGTCAATGCCTTTCTCGATATACTGCAAAAGCACAGAAAATTTAATTGCTCCCTTCTCAACGGCCCTCAAGTCGCATCTCTGTATGAAAATTTACTCTATCGAAGCTTCGAGGAACAGTTGAGTTGGTACAGTGAGGATAACAGCTCCTGCTTGAACATGCCAGAGGGTATCAGGAGAATTTATCAACATGCCGACATCAAGTCCAAGATTAACAGGGCACGACCAAGAAACTTTCCGTCCACGCCGCAACAATCGATTTTTTAATGTATTTGTCAAGGCAACGTCATAGGAGTGTGTCTTCATTTATAGGTTTTTGATCCGTGGACTTAGGGTGCATAGACTGCCGTATCCTATCCTGTTAACCCCCAATATTTCACGTAGAAAAGCCGACAAACCGTCGGCTGTAGTCAGATGCTTTGGAAAAGGACGTTCCGCCTGATTCTGATCGGTCCTATGCACGGGTGTGCCTAGCAAAAAGGGTGAGCGCGCCGAGCAATTCACTACGGTACTCCTACGGAGTTCCCTTTATTCAGTCTCTCTGTAAACATCACGGACCGATGGATGCCTCAGGCTTACCTCGCTGGGCGGGGTCTGGAGCCAGCATGTTCTCATCCACATGCACAATCCACTTGGGCCACGTTGGGGGAGGAGCGTAAAAAAAGTCATTGCCCCTCCAAGTGCTCAAAAATGCCAACCCAAACGGATCCGTAAAACAACATCCCCCCTCTTCGAAGCTTCACATTCTCCCCCGTACATCCAAACAATTTCCCACCCAACCACGTTAAGCCCGACAATTCCTTCCCCTTGACATCGTCGATCTTCACATCAATCACAATGGGTTTCACTGATTTCCTCTCCGATGCTGGCTTGACCCGTGAGTTTTTTCTTTCACTTGGACGAGCATTGACTGCTGCGAATTTTTGATTTTTTTTTGGCAGTTGTGGCGGGGGGGGGGAGGAAAAACCCCCCCCCCCCCCCGCCGTATAACTTTTTGCGATCACGAAATTTTCGTTTCAGGACGACGACTTCGTTAGACGATGACAACGGCTTTGCTAACTGCTTTGGCGCCCCATAGTCTTGAACAACTGGGTTCAGACTCGCTCTTATATTGCTGGGTATGTTCCGATTTTTTTTCCTGGTTCCTTTCAGTGCTACGTGTCTACGTCTAGCCTCTGAATCCTGTGTCGAGCGGTCTTGGAAGGGACACTTTGTCCAGAAATGTGATGCCACTTGCCTCACGTCTTCGAATGCTACAATTCTTCCGCAAGACTGTCCATGCCACTTGATTTTGCATCGGCGAAACTTGGCGTGTGCTCTCCGGCAATCCAGAGATCTCAATATATACTGTCACAGCGACATCGTGGACAACCCCGCTATTCTGCAGCTCATTAATTCATGTCTTGTTCGCCGGGCGACCACAGGCCTCTTCTGTACAGTTAAGACTAACCTATGTCCCTTCTGTATAGCTACTCTGCCACCCAGGCTGATGTTGCATGCTTCAAGGCCTTGAAGGAGGCTCCCGACGCCAAGAAGTTCCCCAACGCTGCCCGTTGGTACAAGCACATCGCTACCTTCGAGGATGAGTTCGCTTCCCTCTCTGGCGATGCTAGCAAGCCCTACACCGTCTACGGCCCCGATGCCGCCGAAGTCACTTTGAACCCCGCCAAGGCCCCCGCTGCCGCGGACGACGACGACGATGTCGACCTGTTCGGCTCTGATGAGGAGGATGATGCTGAGGCTGAGCGTGTCCGCGAGGAGCGTCTGGCCGAATACCGCAAGAAGAAGGAGGCTAAACCTAAGACTATTGCCAAGTCTGTTGTCACCCTTGACGTCAAGCCTTGGGGTATGTACACCTCCCAAATACGTGATTACGGTTATTCTCCACTGTGACCAAGTGCCTAAATGGCCTGATTCGGTGGCAGAAAGAATAACATTATCATGCCAGACACTTGACAGACATGCTAACACAGAAGATTACCAGATGATGAGACTGATATGGTTGGCCTTGAGTCTTCCGTCCGTGGCATTGAGAAGGACGGTCTGGTCTGGGGTGCTTCCAAGCTGATCCCTGTCGGTTTCGGTATCAAGAAACTCCAGATCAACCTCGTCGTCGAGGACGAGAAGATCTCTTTGGATGAGCTCCAGGAGGAGATCCAGGAATTTGAGGACTACGTCCAGTCCACCGACGTTGCCGCCATGCAGAAGCTCTAAATGCGTTCATCACCGGAACAAACCACGCATTTTTGACTCAACACTGAACATCACCTAGCAACGACAAATCACCACCATTGCCACATATGAAATTCCCCATTCTCTCTCGTTTGAGATATTAGTTCATGAACCCCATTGCCGTGGCGTTATTGGATCATATTGTGAGTTAATGGGACGAGTGGAGGGACTTTCAACCGCAAACTTTGGTCTTGTGGCTGTCAGTCTATAACGAAGATCAGAGAAAAATATGAATAAATGCCAAATATGAAAAAAATACCGGGTTCATGAGCGGATTCTTTTTCTGGATGAGGATGGTAACGACGCCGATCAGTTGTGGAAAAGTTGTTACTTATAGACAAACCTTGTGGAAAATGAAGTATCGTCTCATTCGTTGTGAATGACGTTTGAAGGTCTTTGTGCATGTGGCTTATTTATTTACGCTTATTGGATTGGTGCATTCCTTCCAGGTAATAGTCCGAGACTGGGATGGCGTTACTTTTCTTTACCATTTTGCTTGCAAGGTTCAAGGACACCCTGCCCGTAATCTTGGTCCATTCTATGTTTGTTGAATTCATAGCAATTGATACTTGCCAGACCTCTATAGTACCGCCATTGGACACGAGGTCAAAGAATTCTAGGCCCACCAAGCATATAGGCTGCAGAGTTGGGAGGGAATAATGCGGATCTCGTGAGGGACGCTCGCCGCCTTCCGGCCAGCGCCCCATCTCCGGACATTTTGTATACAAGACGTGAGCCTCATTCAAGCCTGCCGTCAAATTTCATCTCTGCCCTTCTTTCTGTGCCTTGTCCGCAGGCAGTTTCTCATTCAAATGGCTTGATATTTTTAAGCTCGAAGCATCACCGTCGCGAACCTGTCACGTGATCCACCATGTCACAGGCGGAGAGTCACTCGGTGGCACATTCAACGGCTTTTTTTTTTTTGAACTGCGTGCAGATTTGCTGCCTGTTCGTGGCCATATTCAAAGCGGCCCTCCCCCCCAAAAAAATACCTAGGTATACCGCGCATCAGCGCAATGCATAAAACACCCTGCCGTGTTGCCTGATTCTCATCTCACTCCCACCGCCACTCATCCAAAATGTCCGGCCAGGAAAAGTCTCCATGCCGCATCCTGGTCATGGCCTCTGGCTTTGGCTCAAACTTCCAGGCGCTCATAGACGCCGTTGACGAAGGAAAAACAATACGAAACAGCCAGATCATCCGTCTCGTCACGAATCGAAAAAACGCATACGCCACCACGCGAGCAGAAGGCGCAGGCAAGATGTCACCCTGCCTTTCGGGGCTCCATGCATTATCTAACACGACGCCAGGTATTCCTTGGGATTACTTCAATCTCATTAGCCACGGATTTCTGCCCAAGGGAGAAAAAGACGAGCAGAAAATCGCCGAGGCTCGTGAGAGGTATGACGCCGCGCTGGCCAAGAGGGTACTGTCGGCGGATGACAAACCGCCCGAGCTGATTGTTCTCGCGGGGTGGATGCACATATTTTCAAAGGAGTTCCTGGAACCGATGGAGAAGGCAGGGGCGAGGATCATTAACCTTCACCCTGCATTACCCGGTAAGTCTGCGGCTGGCCAGTTGCCCGAGGCGTAGCTACTCACAGCTTTGGATAGGGGAGTTTGACGGAGCTAATGCCATCGAGCGGGCTTATGAAGAGCTTACGGCTGGACGGTTAACACGCACTGGTATCATGGCCCACTATGTCATTAAAGAGGTGGATAGGGGTACTCCTATTGTGGTTGAAGAGATTGAGTGGAAGGGCGAGACGCTCGAGGAACTAAAAGACAAGATACATTCCTGTGAGCACAAGCTGATTGTTGATGCGACGGCAAAGGTGGTTGATGAGATATTGGAAGGGAGGGCAAAGGAAACGTAAGACCATGCGAATACCCGCCAAGCTGTGAAGGTATAAGGTATATGTTCCCGCAACAATTTGAGCTCTCAAGTTGGTATGACCCCCTCATAGTAGTGCCATCTAAAATGGGTGTCTGGTTGTTGTGGATTGTGTGGGAACTGCTGGCTGCAAGATTGACGCTCGAGTCTCATGGATCCTGTAGACACATTCTCGCGGATGAGAACGTCAGCGTGGTTGAGGCAAGACTTATATATCCTTCTCAGCCATGTCGTTCATACGTAAGTCTAAAAAGCACTCAAGTTTAACTACCAAATCTCCAAAACAACCTAGTTCCGTGTCCGTTTTATGAATCCGTACTAATACAATTCGTACTAGTACAGGCAAAACCGCAACTCCGCGCTCTCGGGCCAAAATGCCTCCAATGCCATGCAAAAATTCATGTGAAAAAAAGACCTCCCCTCAGCTACTTGTGCTCCTTAAGTACCTCTGAACAAAAACTGCATATCCTCAGGACTAAGACTTTCCATGGCCTTGTCGTCTGCATTCACAGTCGAGTGAATCATGTTTGTCTTCTTCTCCTGGATTAGAACCATACGGCTCTCCACCGAGTCTTCAATACAAAGTCGCGTAATGGTGCAAGGGCGGGTTTGGCCGATGCGATGGCAACGATCTGCAGATTGCCACTCTGCGGCTGGATTCCACCATCTGGAAATTCGTTAGTCGATCAGCTAAAGTTGGGGATAGGAGTTGAGCTTACGGATCAACAATAAAGACTCTTGAGGCCTCAGTGAGATTAAGCGCAACACCGCCTGCCTTAAGAGAAACAAGAAAGCATTCCACATCAACGTTGTTCATGAAATGCTCAATGGAAGCCTGACGCTGCGCGGGTGTCATAGAACCATCCAACATGACGGTCGTAATACCGGCCCTGCGTAGTCGCCACTCGATAAGCTGCAGCATGGTTGTAAACTGAGAAAAGATAATAGACTTGTGGGACGCGTTGTCTGAACGGAGTTTATGCAGCTCGTGGACGAGCAGTTCAATCTTGGAAGATGAAGTCCAATTCTCCATCTTAATTCGGTTAATAATCGAATTCTTCTTGACCAAGTTTTCGTCCTGCTCAATCTCGGGCTGCTCGAGGTCTATCGACAGAGGGATATGACAACGAGGACAGTCAGGAGCATCCGTTGATCCAATGTAGCTAGAAACACAGGCTCGGCAAAAGTCGTGTTTACATCGACTTCGGATTGTATCCTCTGCTGGCTCGTCGCAAATGCTGCAGATCAACACGTTTTGTCCACCATCAGCATTCTTCTTCAATATCAAATCAGGGTGATCTGCCACCTGTCTCATTTGCATAATAAGGCCAAAAATGTTGGCGTAATTGTTCAACAATACACCCTGCGCGACGTAGGTGTCGAAGTTGCGCTGGCCGTTAGTCATAATACTATTCGCGAAGTCGTTCTCTTCTTCACCAAAAAACTGTCTTTCGACATAGATTTCCTTGACAGGCAGTTCCATAGAGTCGGTATGGTCTCTCTTGAGACGACGCAACATGATACGCTCCGTCATCAACCGAAGCTTGCGAAAAGCCTCCCGACCGGGTCCAAGATTACCAAACTTTTGAATTGGGTTAAGGAGCTCTTGGTTGAAGACGGACACATGCTGCATGCCTGCATGATTGCAATGGGAGCAGCGACTATTCTCGTCCATCGCCCACTCGGGAGTTGAGCAGGGACATTGTTTGCAGAGATAAAGAGCAAAAGGCCTAATATTCAAAAATCGTATCAATGAAAAGAATTCTCCGATGCGGTTTTGCAACGGAGTTCCGGTCAGACACCAGCGATATGTCGTTTGAAGGGCAAAACAAGCCTTGGCGGTCATCGTTGTTCGAGTCTTGATGCTGTGGGCCTCGTCTAGAATGGCTCGGTGGAAATGAATCGAATGAATGACACTCTTTTCCTTGTGGATGCCATTTTTTCGCTTGAAGCCTTTTTCTTGCTTTCGGTACATTGATTCCAAGCTGTTGTACGACATCATAATCACATCGTATGTCTTGAGCTCTTTAGCGGTGATAGTCTTGGCCTTCTGATTAGTTCCGTGGAAGACAAAAGTCTTCAGAGTACCATCCGTATACGATTTTATCTCTGATTGCCACTGCATCAATGCGACTGGCGGCACAAGAACCAATGACGGTTGCTTAGCTGGGTAATCGGACATAATAAGCGAGACAGCTTGTATAGTCTTGCCGAGACCCATTTCGTCACCTAGTAATCCGCCCTTCCATTCTCTCTTTTCCATTTCTTTCATCCAAGCAAGTCCTTCCAGTTGGAACGGTTTTAGTTGTCTAGAGATGCTTTGCGGCTGTGGAGCCGCCCCAGCCTTGAGAATGGGCATCTTTTCCAAGTCATTCCACATGGTAACAATCTCTGGATGGTGATACTCAAGGCGATCACGTTCCTTCCTAAGGCGTCGCGTGTTGCCCGACCTGTACGCTCGGCGGTTGGCAGCAATTCTTCGTAACTCTGACACACCCTCCTCAGCGTCACTAGAGTTGGAAGAGCTCAGGCCAGCAGAGACCGAGGATACAGTGCTCATATCCGAAGCGATGCTAACGACTTCTTCTGCGACATCATCATCATCGTCCGAGTCCTGGACGACGTCCTGTGCTCGGTGACGTCTTATAACAAGGTTTGGTTTGGATCCAGTCGCTGCTGCTGATGGCCGACCTCGTCTGGTTGGCATCTTGGCCTTTGACGACAGGGTTCTCGGTTTTTGTGGCTGCTTGCCTTTCTTCTTAACTGAAAGAGGTTCATCATCCGAGAAAGCATCAGAAGTTCCACCGTCTTCATCCACAGCAGCCTCATCAACCTCGTCTGAATCAGTAAATGTCGCTTCGCCTTCCGAGAGTTCAGGAGGCTCCGAGAGTTCGCTGTCCAGTGCAGCGGCTGCTGCGATTTCTGCATCCATATCGAAGTCAGATGTTGGAGGGTCGTCTGAATCTGGTATTATTCTGCTCTTCTTTGCTGGTGGAGCCAGTTGCATGGATAACCTAGTCGAAGCTCTGCCTCGCTTTGCAACTCCGCGTGTGGGTAAAGGTGAGGTGGTAGCAGTCACAGCACGACTACTCCCAGAGAGCGACGAGGACCCCAAAGTTCCTTCATCAGCTTTTGCAAACTCTTCATCCTGCAATCTACGGGCTATCCTGGCATCCCACCCTGTATCAGAGGAGTCGTCATCTTCCTCATCAGAATTGACAATTTCAGTCAGTTTTCTATTGGCCTTCATGGAGTAAATGCTATTTCTGAGTGCTCGTTCGCTGTCAGAGTCGTCGGCACGAGACCTGGCAGGTAGCCGTACTTCTAATGACGCAAGGGACTTCGAGGCCTCAGCAGACAATGATCCCTCAGCAGTTAACGGTGTGGGATTCTTGCTAGTAGCAGGCGTAGAGTATTCGGCATCAGAAGACAGCTCCTGTGGTGTAGCGGCGGAAGAGACAGATGTGCTGCCGATTGCTGATGCTCTGCCGCGTCGTGGTTTAACCCCACTAGAATGAGAAGGTGAGGATGATGAAGAAGTTGTGATCGCACTGAGAAGGGAGGCACGAGATGGTCTTCCTCGAGGTCGCCTAACTGGCGGTGTTGAGTCGCTGGAGACGACGATTTCATATCCATTGGCTGGCCTGGATGAAACTGATCTAGTCCGACGGGTGCCATTCACATCAGGCGATTCTGTATCGCCTGTCAGAAAAGGAATCAAGTCCAAACCGAATCACACCGGATGCTTACCAGAAACCTCTAATAGTGGCATCCCACCGGCTCGAAGAGAGCGGCGCCCGCGAGGCATTGTGTTGGTGCACCCTCAGCCTAGGCTCTGGTGGCTAGACTTGGCGAGACGAAGTACCAACCAACCTATCTATGATGACAAGTGAAGAAGACAAAACTGGACCGAATTGTTGCCTTGTATGTTGATCCTGTAGGAGACAGACAAGAATCTACCAAAGCACTTCGACCTTTTGACACTGTGCAAAGACGACAGAGTTGCAAACGCAGCCCGAGGAAAAGAAAGAAGAGTCAACTGGTCTGTGACCCAATTGCTTCGCTAGCAACACGACGTTGCCTGGACTCTGGAGAAAAGGACAATAGAGCCAGCAGTCTTCAAGGACGCTCGAGCAACGGAGGGGGGTTGCCAAAACCATCAATGAATCTGCAGTTCTTTGTTGCTCATTTTTTCTCCACAGGTGCAAACTGCCAGGAACGAATCTTTGCCACTGAGATGTTGGGTGTTGAGATTTTCCCGCCGAAACGCCCTCCGTGACTTGCGGCTGCCATTCACAGTGCGCTCAGTTCGCTCTCAGTTCGCTCGACGCCTCCCAAAGCCACGGCGTTAGCCCGCGTTGGCAAGGCGAACACGAAAGCACGTGCTCAGAACCAGGGGTTAAATAGACAGTGCTGGCCAGATATAGCACGGTACCAATCATGTTTTGCTCTGCACATTTCTAACAAGTCTGTGCATGACTCACAGTGCCAGATGTTTTCAATTAATTTTTTGAACGCCACTCACCTGACACCGTGTTAGCTGCGCGGATGCACAGAGGCACGTTCCAATTGGCACTGGGAGACGAAGGGCGAACTGAACGGACAGACGTTGCGTGCGATGCAGGTTAGTCTGATGAGTAAACTTGCCACCAGCACGGTCTGGCCCAGCAATTTACTACCACGTTTATTTTATCAATCTCTTCTGTGTCCATTCTTCCAAGAGGCTTCTTTTTTCGAGCTTCATCCACCATGTAAGTCGAACCAAACCTGTTCGTTATGTCGCAAACAACTGATATGACGAACATCGAAAATTGACATGAATAAACAGGTCTCGCCGGAGTCGAGCACAAAACCAACCCAACGGCGAAAACCGGCCAATACGCAATATTACTGGACCGTAAGATCATTTCTGCCTGTACTTCCATGCCACTCTCCTCCCTAGGACTAACCCAGTCAACACAGTCAGTCTGCCCTGACGGATTT